ACCAATTTCACTAATAAATATAGCTGCAAAAATTCTCAGCAAAATCCTAGCCAATGGATTACAGCTTATCATCAAAAAAGTCATACATCATGATCAAGTAGGTTTCATCCCTTACAAAAATATTAAATGATGTTTTCTGGAGGAAATATGGTTTGAAACACTATCTATGGTCACAAATGGCAGAAAATAACTTAAGTATCTCTCAACAGGGGATTGTTCATAGACTAGGGTTTGTCACATGGTGGCATGCATGTCGCTATGAAAAAAGACTAATGTAAGTCTCATTACTGCCCTAGGGAAGAGGCTCCAGGACATACTGTTATGCTAAAAAGCAATGCATAGACCCAAGTTTATCCCTTTATCTGAGAGATTATGAATACATGCTTGTATGTACTTGCATGTGTACTGCTTGGGTTATATTACAAAAGTGCCTAAACCACAGCATTAAGTAAGTGGTCAGCTAAGCGCAGAGAACGGGAACGTGGTAAAGAAAACTGGGAGCAAAGTTAGTGCCCTCACAACACTCCTGTTTCAATCATTTGGCTTTGGAACACTACATCAGAACTTAGTGTAAATCTTAAGAATCTCTAAAAACTGAAAGCCAAATTAAACAAATGAAATTAACTGGGTTTTGGGTTGGTGCCATAACAACACAGGAGGAAATTATTTCAAGTGATTTTAAAGCAGTAATTTTTCTTGAATTCTTCAGTGAAATGCAGACTTTGAGGACCAAAAGAAGAAACAACACATCATCAGAAAGGGTTTTCAGTAATCAGAAACAACTAGAGCTGCAGAGAACTGTTACCCTGAAACTACTGAGCAAGTTCCCCAGGAGGCAGAATAAGAGTGAGCTCAGCCTACAGACACTCGGGACACTCCAGGGAGAAATGGGAGAAATGGAGATGTGAGATGAGAGTAGTGAAGATCCTGGAATCCTGGAGACTGGGTGGAAGTAACAGAAGAAGCTTATGGTGTATTTTGTTTATTGCAATGTTTTTCTTAGCACTGTCTCCCCAAAAGGCCTAACTGTGCACACCTCTAATGCTCAAAGCAGCCAGACCTGGGTGACTCCCAGATCCATAGAAGGAAATGGGTGAAAGCAGTGGGAACAGCCCATTAACCTAGAGGGTAAGAAGCTCTCAAAGATGATTTGAGGGTGTCAGAAGAACTCAAAAGGCAACCTCATGAAGCTCCCCTGGGCTGGAAATGCCACAATGTCACCATTTAGAAGGACAAAAGCTACATGGATTAAAATATAACAAATATGTGGAAATTCATGTGATAACGACTCTAATAATAAAAATAAATAAAGCAAATATAATATCTTATTCATACCCCTTAGGTGACCAAAGTTTAACCAGTTGGAAGTTAGAGAACTACCTTATTAGTCTCTTAAAAAAAAAAAAAAAAACACCCAGCAGTAGCTACATGAGCTGTACTTTCAGGATATTCAAATAGCTGATGAAGGACCATTAGTTTAGATAGCTGTATCCTGACCATTCAATGACGAAAATAAAATTAGACCATCTTATCCTTTGTAATAATGCTATTGTGAATTCCTTATTATAAGAGTTGTAAACTGAAATATGATAAATAAAATTACATGATTTATTAAATTTGCTTCAAAATAATTTGTTGGTTGTGTGATAGAGCACGGATGGGGACTTAAATAAATGATGTAAAAAAATGATGGGCCATGAATTAATAAATGCGGTTCTGGGTATTCCTTAGACTATTCTGTCAATTTACACATGTATTTTAATTTTTTGATATACAAAGTTTAAAAAAGTAACAAAATAGAAAAGAATTTGTTGTATGAATTAGAATTATTAAAATCCATATCTGATTAATCATATTTAGGTTGATAATATAACTGCAAGCTCCTTGAATATGGGGACAAAGGCTACTTTTTTTTCCCCACTCTAAATGCTCCTAGTACCTGGGGTGGGAGGGAACTTAGCTAAATACATTTCCATGAATGCAAGAATAGAGGAGTGGATATGCAGACTACGTAATTCATCCTACAGATGTGTGGAAATACTGGAGACCTTCAATCAACCCTGCTGCTATCCAATGCTGAATAGACAAAAATCTAGGTTTTGTGTCAAGACAGGCTTTGGAGGAAATGCCAAAGTGAACTCTTGGTGCTTTACTTGGTTTTCTTGTTATTTGTATGCATTGCATTTTTATGCCCCAGTACAAATGCACAGGAGGCCTGCAGCCCCTGTTAAGTAAAGACGGCCTCAAATAATGGGATTTTTCTACCAGTGGCCATCCCTGTCTGAGATCCTTCTGGGGATAGTGATCAGTTTCTGGGTGTGAAATTCTTACAAGAGAGGACTTTATAGCTTTGCCTTTACAATGCCTAAGAGAAGAGTCACAAAATGCTACAGCAGGAGTGATCCTATTGTCCTGCTCTGTGCAATGTGCCATTAAGCAGCGGCTTTGCAGTCGGACCGTGTGCGTTCCTTACCTTTGTAGGAAATGACAGGGTGCTCAGCTTTCTGGCACTGAGCTGCACCCTGTGCCTCTGGGTGGGCGAATCTCCACAACCCCAAACTTGAGAACAGCCAGGCGATGACACAGGTCCCCCTCATGGTGGGTGAGGGGCTCTGACTCTGGGTGCTTGTCTTCTAAACAGAAGTGTGTCTTCCCCTCATGTGTAGGAAGTGCCTAAAACACACAAACAAGAAGCACCTGGTGACCACGAGTTCGGGTTCAGGGGGGCTGGGGTTTGGTGAATCTCCATCACTAACCTTAAGGTTTGTGAAGGTGTCTGGGAGTTGAGAGATTAGACCAGCAACTTTACCTGGGCAACATTTCAGACTGTATGCGTATCTCAATATGTACCTCTCTTCCGGCCAATACTTTTATGAGATAGTCTATTTATTATAAAAGAAGAAATGTTCAAGTTTAAGCTCTACACAATCATCAGTCACCCCTAAAAAAATGCAGATTAAAAGTTGTGATGATCTATTGGTTTTTCCCTTAGACAACTCTCCCACCCCTTCATGCAAACACAGATCTCCATATGGAAGCTCTACAAATCCCCGCCCATCCCTTTCTAATGCCTTTTACAATAACCTGATTAATAGTGTGCTATCCAACTTTTAAAAGTCGTCCATATTTGGCAAATTTAACCTTGTTAAATTTGTTAAATTTATAGATGATCTGCCAGCAAAATTTCTGGCTAGGGATCAAGTGTGAGTCAAATAAAATGTATATTGGGCACCTACTGGGTGAAGGGAAAGCACTGTGCTGGGAGCAGCGAGACTTTAAAGATTATGGACAATTTAAAAGATTAACAAGCATTAAAATAAAATAGGCTTGTAAAAATAACTATGATCCAAGGTGTTAGCAAACCTTATAAAGAACAGGAGTGCCGTGGGAGTTACCCGAGACTACCACTGTGACTCAAGGATGGGTCTGCGGAGAAGTTTAATACTAGAGAAGAAAGAGGATTTCAACAGATGGAGGTTTCTGGAAGGACATTCCACCCCAAGGGAGGAAGGTGGAAAGGCACATTGGAGGGGCAACAGCAGGGGTCTGCAGCATGACTTGGGAATGGTTTACTGCCCGTGATCCAGACCCCAGAGGACATAAAGGGAAACAGTGCCATTTATACACTGAGAGGTGAGGTCTTTGTTTTTAGGCAAAAAGCTGCCACAGTGCGTTGACATTGGGAGACCTTATTAATATTAACGAGATCATTCTCATAACAGGAGATTGGGTAGAGAAGAGCACAAAGGTGGAGAAATTGATGTGAATCTATCGCAATTGTTCAAAAGGGAAACAAATGGAGCTGTGACTTCTGGGGGGTGGCACCGTGAATGAGAAGGTAAACACAGGACACAATAAATGCGGAAAGGAGAGTCTGGAAAACTGACAATGACAGGTTCTGTCTGAGAGGTCAGTCTTTGTCACACACACCCCAGACTCTGGGATTTCTTTGCTTTATCCAATGCAACAGAAGGAATGCTGTGCCAGTTTCCAAGCCCAGGCTTCATGAGCCTGGCAGTTTCTCCTTCCCATCTCTAGAACACATTCTCTGGGACACAGAGACACAGGAGCCGAAGCCCAATGACCCGAGACTTCTTATATCAATAAGCTTTTAAATGATGTGGCTGGCAGGTAGCAATTTGCTCAGCTCCTCATATATCCATCCCTGCTGAGGCGCCAGATATCTGAGTCAAGCTGAAAGCCCCTGAGGGACTTTAGTATCTACTGCCCAGTGGAGTCCTCTCCAGATTCTTGACCCCTCAAAAATGTGAAATATAATAAAATGGTTACTGTTTGAATCTGCTACATTTGGAAAATGCACAGCAAAAAGGCACAGATGGACTCAAGACAGATAATGTGAGTGACTTCAAGGACGGTGATGCCATTCCTGGGAAGAGGATAATCAATGGATGGATTTTGTTTAGATGAAAATAGGATCATTTAGTTTCATGCATATTAAGTTTCAGACTCTGAGTGAATATTCAGGGAAATGCAGCAAACTGTTGAAAAACCTGGGTTGGGTGCTCAGCAACAAACAAATTTCAGAGGTATCTTACATGGCTTGGAATGTTTATCTTATGTTGTGTAGATGTGGTTGACATTTACCCAGGGGAGGCATGAGAATTAGAAAAAAATTAAAAAGACTAAAGAAAGGTATTTTATTAAATGAAGAAGTGAATACACCAAAATGAGAGTAGAGAACAGAGATGGGAATGTCAAGGGAGGGTGATCAAGTTAGGGTGGAGGGCTGAAGGCACACCTTTAAAAAAGATTACCCGCTGGTTGCACCATGACAGGGCAGAGCAAAGACCACTGGCTTCCCTCAACAGTCAGTGGTCATCTCCTGGGGCAAGCAAGTTGAGCAGAAGAGAAAACAGAATCCACTTAGCAAAAGCCAAGAAGGAACAGAGTGGAGGGCAGTGGGATAGAATGTGTGTGGCCAACTTTAAGTGATCAAGAAAACTTCAATGAAATCAGATAAGCACTAAAAGATGTGAATTAGGAAACCTTAGTATAGAGAAAACAGAGAATTAAAAGTGGCTTCTTTTCTGAGACGTGGTTAGTGAAGAAAAGACTGTATGTTAAAGAGAGGAGGGGATGGGAAAAGATCAAGAAAAAACTGAGATGAGAATCTATTGGTGTCCTAGCAAAGGATGTAGAAGGGATGAGGTCTGCCTTTAAATGAGAGCATTTACAGGAATCCACAGTGAGATTTCAAGATGTAGAAGGTATTAATTTGAGGGTACATCACATTCCACAGTCTGTATTTTTTGAGTTGGGGAAAGGTAGGAGAAAAAAGTGATGGTATAATTTTTAAATAAGAGTAGAAAAATATTGGGTGAATTTCACAGGAGTTGACCAAATATGAACAGATCTGACTAGAAGTTCAAAGATTCAGCTGAGTTAGTCTCTCCCTCATCCAGTATTCACTGAGGGCCAAATGCATACCCACCTCTCTGTGCACTTATGAATTTGCAGAGGAATTGAGCAGAATGGATAACTCAGAAGCAATTGTGGAGTGGATATAGGAGGCATAACATGGTACTCAACCAGACTAGGAACCTCAGAGCAGGTAGAAGGTTGGGGGGTCCCTGAGAACATAAGGGATTCTAGAATGTTCTCATTGGCCAAAATGTTCAGGTAGGGCAGAAAAAGAATGAAGGGACTGCAATTCAGGACACAGCAAGTGTGCAGCTTCTGTAGGAGCAAAAGACCCTCAGTATCAGGGGGATGGAGAGGAAACCAGGGGCCAGAGGCCCATGCACCCAATGGTCCATGATCCCTTCATAGGCATAGAGTGCTATGATTGACAATGGATGCATAAGTGCTCATTCTTCTGAGTCATAAAATTAAAAGTATGATTTTCACTCTTGGAAAAGGAGTCACTATCCACAAACTTGAGGCCACTCCAGACCTCAAGTCTAGAGGACACTGGAGGACTACACATGAAATAGTCCATCTTTTCATACTTCCTGACCTGGGATGTAAGACATAACATTTCATTAAATGATATGTTTAAAAATATTTATACTAAATACTTGTTAGAGGTGTTTTGGGAGTAATTTAGTTCTCTTAAGAGTAGGGAGGTTTGGGGGACCCATACCAGTCCACAGCACCACATCAAAACAGATCAGCAGTGATAAAGATAATACAGGAGGGATGATGGAAGTCCTAGTGAACCCTCAGAATGTGCTCATCTGTGGCAGGCGTGATGCCAACCGTTCACGCCCAGGCCTGGCACCTGGCAGCCAGACAGAGTAGTGTCACTGCCCTACCTGCTCTCCCCAAAGCAGCCCAGCAAGGAGGCGGCTTGGAAAATTTCTGCATCTTGAGCTCCAAAATTGAGCTCAGATCAACTAAGGTCTAACAGTTAATTCTTCTCCTGAACTTACTGTGTTGATGTGATAGGTCCACGCCAACACAGAATTCCCCTGTTAACCATGAAGCCAGCCACATAGAGCTACTTGCCATTGGGACTGTCCTCTGTACACAGTGAGCCATCCACTTTGATCCCTGCCCTGATATCTTCACATCCTCCACAAAAGGAAGAGGACAATAACACAAGTGCCTGACACATCCTTTCCCTAGGATTTGGAAAGTGACGGTTAGAGAAGGACATGCCACGTCAGGGGAAAGGACAGCTAAAATTGAACATGTAGCTTCTGGGTGATGATATAAAATTACAGGTTTGCCATGTGAGGGAAGCACATTTAATTAGAATAGGTACTTTTTAGAGGTTTATAATTTTCAGACTAAACATGTTACCTTTTCTCTTAAAATACAGGTCCTAAAAATTGTCACCCTGGCTAGGTGACCTAAAGGAGCATGAGCAATCTTCATGGAGAGATGTGGGCTTTTCAGAGCATCCTCCCAGGCATGGCTAATGCCGTGAAGAGGCTTTTACTCTAAATAGTCTCAGCCCTAAATAGCAGGTCCCTCCTTCCTGGAATCCACAATTCCATCTTCCACTGAATCACGGAGCTCTCGCCTATCAGTAGTGTGGGAGGAGCACATTTATACCAGGCTTTTAGTGTACAGCTCAGCACGATTGACATTTTAGCCCATAATTCTTTGTTCTGGGGGATGTTCTATGCATTCAGCAGCATCCCCACTTTCCACCCACGAGATTCTAGGAGCAAACACACCCCCCATTTGCATAGACCAAAAATGTCTCCAGACATTGCCAAACTGTCCCTGGTTGAGAACCTCTGATTTACATTGCATACATATCACAATACCTGTCTCATCTGAGAAATTAAATAAGCTATCATCCCTTGAAATGTTATTCAATGTATGCTCATATAAATCAGCCAACTGAATTTGTGTTGAGTCATTTTCAGCAAAGTTTCAATAAAAATGAAAGTCATGTTAGTTATAACTATTCGCTAAATTTGGGAAATACATTGTAAAGGAATTTTCAAAGGATCAATTTCAATACAAGTTGTCCTACTGTCACTCTACCACCCCTGGAAAACTAAAAATATATCAGGTGAGCTACCAGGAAAGCCACAATTTCGCCAGTGTGTAGATTTATTACAGAAGGACAATTTGGGCTACAAAATATGAGCATTTTTGTCACATCTACTTCAAAATCCTGAGACCATTTAGTTTCCTTATGTGGGAGGATCTCTTTATAAGCCTGATCTAAATAAGTACAACTCTGTACATAAGTG